TATACATTGAATATTATAAAAATTGCTAATGTAAAATAAATTAATAGAATTTTTTGTTAATCTTAAATATAATAAAATGATAAAAGATAATTTTCATTGTTCGTGATTGATATATATTAAATATCATATTATTTTTATAATCTATGTAAAATAAATTGATTGAATTTTTCTAATAACTAATGAGTTTATTTCTAAAATATTTAAAATGTTTAACAATAAAAATAAAAAGAAACAAACGCTTGATGATTGTTATTTGTTAAATATTAATATGATCAACGTGAAAAAATACATATTTGAAAAGAAATGAATTAGTAAGATCTATTGAAAATCTCCATGAATAAAATATCTAAAAATAAAAAATAAAAATATATCTAAAAGAAATAAATGAATGATATCTTCCTTTCAATAAAAAAATATTCCTTAATATTTTTCTATATAATATCATATAAAAATAAATCTTGTATATAATTTTTTTATTTGTATACGATAGATAAAAATAAACCTATATAACTGTATATTTATTTAAATCTAAGGATCTCTTTCTCTTTCTCTTTCTCTTTCTCTTTCTCTTTCTCTCTTATCGACAAACATGTAAAATTTGTTAAAATTCGTATAAACGGATATCGGGTTGGCTCTTGGTAAGAATAAAAATTAAATATCTGTGGAAAAAGTTGCATCGGTGTGAAGTATATAATAGGAGATATATACCTACCAACCAACCTTTAATATATTGAAAATTCGATATCGAAAAAATATGGTATGGTTACGGAATAGGTACGTGAAAAATAAAATAAAAGAGAAAAAAAAATAGAAGAAATAAACCAGGAGAGATAGAAGTTCCAAAGATAGAAAGAAAAAAAGAAAAAGAGAGAGAGAGAGAGAGAGAGAGAAAAGAAGGAAAGGAAGAAGGGGGGTTTAGGATGGTTCAGAATGGTAGAGGATGGTTGAGGGTGGTAGAGGATGGTTGAGGGTAGTAGAGGAAGGTTTAGAAGGAAGAAGGAGTAAAAGAGCTTTAATATGAAGGTGAATAAATACGTTGCCGTGCTTTGTGCACGCGTTGAGCACAGAGAAGACGAATAAGAAGAAAAAGAAATATAAGAAAAAGAAAAAGAAGAAGAAAAAGAAGAAAAATAAGAAGAAGAAGAAGGTAGGCAAGCAAGTGGGTGGTTGGGAGTATGCGATCGTTACGAAATAAAGGAAATAAACGTAAGAATAGAGTGGAATCTTGTTGGAAAAGTAGAAAAGAATAAAAATAAAATAAGAGTAAGAGTAAGACTTGGATGGTCTGCTTTACTAGAAAGAAAGAAAGAAAGTGAAGTGAAGAGAAGAGATGAGAAGAGAAGAGAAGAGAAGAGAAGAGAAAAGAAATAGAATAGAATAGAATAGAAGAGAAAAGAAAAAGACGGTTTCGCAAAAGGTGGTAAGACGGAAAGCCGAAGCAAACAAAATTAAACCTTCGTCGTCTCGTTTCTGTGACTCTCTTCTTTCTTTACTGACATGAAGAAAGAATAGCAAAAGGAACTGAGATACAAGGTGAGTAGAAAAATATAAAAAATACGAAAAATGATAGATGAAAATGAAAAATGAATGACATAAAAAGATATACAAGGAAAATGCAATAAAAACAAAACAAAACAAAACTAAGAATAAACATCCCTAGTAGCACAAAATATTGACAAATATTGAATTCATGTGTATTTAATATTTTTCAATATTTTGTGCTACTAGGGATTTATAAAATAATAATAGGAAATAAATATTATATAATAGTATATTAAATATATAATATAATAGTAAGAAATAAATATAATATAATAAATAAATAAATAAATAAAAATAAATAAAAATATTAATAAATAAATATAATATAATAGTGCAATAAAAATATAATAATATAATTATAATAATAATATATACTAGATAAATAATAATAAATTAAATAAATAGAAAAAAATAAAAATTTAAATAATTAAATAAATAAAATATTGTATAATAAATATATAATATAATAATAAGAAGAAATTCTAATATAAAAAGTTTCAAAAAAAAAAAGATATAAAAATTTGATAATATTTTTGATATTATATACCTGTAGATGAGGACCTTAATAATATGGGCTCGTTATTTTCTCGTTTCCATAAAATTCTTGGAGTTGGTCGGCCAGTAGCTCTACAACTCAAAGTTGCATTGTCACCCTCCGAAACTGCTAAATCCGCGGTGGTATCACCCCCGTAAACAATGTCCGGTGGTACTGTAATGAAAAACACACACACAAACAAATATAAAACAACACAACAACGACGAATTAGTTTTTTCTTAATGAATTTTGTAGTAAAATAAAAAGTATACCTACTCTCGAAAAATAATGAAATGAAAAAACAAAAACCAAAAAAAAGAAAAGAAATAGAAAAAAAAACATACGTCAAAAAGAAAGTGTTATTCTTTTGTTACATTATTTAATTATTTATYATTATTATCTAATTTAATAATATTAATAATATTAATATTATTTATTATAATATATTAAATGATATTTTTTCTTTCGGCAAATCATATTTTCTAATTCTCTTTTACATTTCTTTTCTACATTTTTTTCTCTTTCTTTCTTACTTTGTTTTTTTTCTTTTTTTTTCTATTTCTTTTTACCTACCGTTAGTATTTTCTTTTTGCTATTACGTACCGTAATTTACCCTCGCGAGTAAGTAAAAGAACACGCGAGGGAGAAAAAGTGGGTGAAGGGGGGTCAGTGTCTACCATTCGAGATGATTGATTACACAAAATGTGGGACGATAGCCGAACTTGCGAGATGTAGGGGATGATGGTTGAGGGAAAAGGGAGGAAGGAGGAGAAGAAAGGGATAGGTATAGGGAAAAGGTACGATCGATTTTGATTCGCGAGAAATATGAATTAACGATTCCTAAATATATATGAAAAGAAAGGTAACTCATATATGTGTCAGGCCCTAGGAATTTAAAAGAAAGTTATTTTAATATACATTAAAAAAAAATTATTATATAATTATTATATTATATTGTAAATTAATATATTTTATATAAAGTTTATACTTCTGTATACTTTAAATAAGTTTATTTGCTTTGATTTTATTTATAAGTATATTTTTATTTATATAAAAATAAAGTATAAGAGTATATACTTATAAATAAGTATATGTAGTGGTAAATAAAATATACTGATAAATAAGTATATTCGATTTGATTTGATTTTATTTTTAGTAAAATATACTTATAAATAAATATAGTGTATTTTATTTTATTTTTAGTAGTAAGATATACTTATAAATAAATATATTTTGTTTTATTTTATTTTAAATAGTAAAATATACTTATAAATATAAAAGAGTATTATTTTATTTTATTGTATTTTATTGTATTTTATTTTATTTTATTTTAAGTAATAAAATATACTTATAAATAATTATATATTTTATTTTATTTTAAGTTTACTTCTTTATATTTAAAATAAAATTATATCACGTTAATTTTTCTACTTGTATATCATTATAAACCAATGATACAATCATTAACAAATTATTATAAATTTATTCTCGACCTATTACTTTTTGATTTTTTTTTTATATTTGTTGAAACAAAAAAGAGTTAGTAAAGGTAGTCTGAAAAAAAATCTCTTAGAAAATATATTTTGAGTGAGAAAGTTTCGATAGTTTGTAAGGACAAGGGAAACAGATAGATAACAAAAGTAAACCTTAACAAACTACAAGCTTTCGTGAAGTAAGTTTCGTAATGAGATAGACGTTAATATGTAGCGTATGTTATAATTAGACTCGATTCAGGTTTCTAGATAATAAAAATCAAGAGTAGATAAATTATAATTAATAGTTAAGATAAACCTAGAATCGTAATAATTATCATCGTTGATCGTGTTATTTGCTTTCATGTAATATAAAAAGTATTTAAAATATCCATAACAATTTAATATAATTCAATGATTCCAATATAATTAATTAATTAATTATTAAACAATACTTTTATAAGTTATTTTAAGATAAATAATAATTAATAGTTAAGATAAACCTAGGATCGTAATAATTATCATCGTTGATCGTGTTATTTGCTTTCATGTAATATAAAAAGTATTTAAAATACCCATAACAATTTAATATAATTCAATGATTCCTATATGATGAATTCATTAATAAATAAAATTAAATTACCGATAATTATGTTACTCGATTTACAGCTCAATGAAATTATAGAAGGTACTAGTATTAGTGTACTGTAAGTGTGTGTGTGTGTATGCACGCGTGTATGATATTGGAAATTAATCGATAAATAGTTATTACGAGATTATTGTTTATTAGAGGATGAGTGGTGTTGAAGGAGGGGTGACACAATTTGAAAATGTTCAAGTTATTTAAATAATTGTTAATTAATCAAAAAAGAATGTATATTGTATTCTAAATGTGAAGAGTATTAGTTATACGTACCGTTCTCTTCGAAGTTCCATGTTTAAACTGACTCGTTTGTCTCCTCTGTTATTGAATATTGTTTATATGACATCACGAACGTTGTTGAACATATATACAACGAAAATATTCTATGTAATAAATGAAAAATCCTTTTAAGGAAAGTCATATAAACAACACAGTGGATAGAAAAGAATTTCAAATGACTTTCATAAATAACAACGGGTCAGTTTAATGTTAGATTTTTTTTTTTAGAGACGATACATTTATATTTCTTTATATTTTCTCTGTATACTTTTTATTTATAATTAAATTTTTATTTGAAGTTTTTATTAATCTCGTGTAATATTAATAATATAATGGGAATTAATATAATCCAACGTGATTAATGTAAGTGTGATTGTAAGTGGTGTAATGTAAGTGATTAATTAAAAAATTATTATATTATATATACATTACTCATATTATTTATTATATTTATTTATATTAATATACATATATATCTAATATATATATATATATATATATTATAATAAATTATATATTAATTAAATAATGATTATATATTATATAATATATCAATATACATATTATAATAAATTATATTTAGTATATACAATTAATATATTATTTATTTATATTAAATAATTATTGATTATTATACACAATTGTAGAATTAAGTGTTAAGATTTATAACTTTGTTAATAAACTTATTTAATTTTTTTTTCTACTCATACTATTAATATACACGTTGTATTATTTAAATTATCTGACCGAATTCTATAACTTTGTTCTTTTTAACAAGTAGGATAAAAAAAAGGAAATAAATAATAAAATAAAATATACTTTGGGTTGTTTAACGAGTACTATCATAAAGTATCGTGAGTTATTGTATTAAAATTCATCGATGCAGTTGCAAGATCTACTACAACAAAAATGTAACAAAGTTATAATCCAATTGTGAGTTATCGTATACACATTTTATATATATATATATATAACGTATATCAAACTTTATCGGCAGATTCGCACGAACTAAAAAGTATCTATCGAGTTTGAAAATTTCACTTAATTTACATCCCAATGCCTTAACTCTCTCACCCACTCATCCACCCTCCCCTTCTCACCCCATTCTCTTCGTAGGTCGTGACAACGATCGATCAAATTTTTACTAAAGAAAAGAGATAATCAATTGGTCGTTTTGAATGAAACGATGTTATTAATCATAATGACAGTTTATAAAAGCATACTGTAAAAACTGTAACCAGTCATTTCTTTTGTCATATGTGATGACAAACCCATAATACCAGGAAATGTATTGAGAAAAGAACATTACTTTTTTTTTTTTTTTACATTTGAATTCTTTCAGATCATATCTATGTATGGTAACAATACATTAATGCAAGTTGTACATAAGTTAGGTTGCATTTATGTAATGGGAATTCTAATGTCATTCTAATCAAATAATTAATATTCTTTCATTGTAATCGTTAGGATTTTATCTTCTTACTTGTCAAATTTGATAAATTACAATCTACTTACTTTCTTTTTTATTTTTTTATCTTATTTTATTTTATTTTATTGTAATACTTGGGATACTAAAATAATTTTAATTAGATTATTTTTTTTAATGGTGTAATATATATATATATATATATATATATATATATATATATATTATTGTATTATATTGAACTTTCGAGTTCCTAATGCCAATTAATAATAATAATAATAATAATAATATTGTATATATATATTAAATTGTAATATATGGTATATAAATATTATATTATATAAATATATAGTATAAATATTTAATATAAATATAATAATATATATTATCATATAATATATTTAAATTTATTATATTTATTTAATTTAAATTTATACTTTTAAATTAAATATTATATTATATACATATAAATTATAAATATAATATTAATATAAATAATATATATATAAAATAATAAAAAATATAAATATAATATAATATATATAAAATATAAAAAAAAAATCGTATTATATTATATATATGTATATATAATATTCAATATATTTAAATATTATATTATATGGAAATATAATATATTTTACAATAATTATTGTAATACATATTCAATGAAATTATTAACAATAATATACCTTTTTTTTTGGTTTCATTTAATTTATTCATTTAATTTGCTTTTTTTTTATTTAATTATTAATATAATATTTTATTCGAACACTGGTAAACTTCTGTTATTTGATATTAGAACTACTCACAAGTTAATATAAACTTTTATGTGTAGAATCAAATGCAATGTTAAAGAAAAATCGAAAATATTTGTTTAAAGTAAACAAGATAATATTTGAGAAAAATATTTCATAAAAATACACGTAAATATATATTTTTTAAACAAATAAAACGATGAAAATATTTTCTCGTGGATAGAAAAAAAAACAAAAAAACAAAAAAAAAAAAACAAAAAAACAAGTAGAAATAAAAAAATGATATTTGGGATTGGTTTATCCACCTCGGTTCGAAAAAAATATAAAAAATAAATATTTTCTTAGTTTCATATTTCTAACTTGAAATGAGAAAAGAAAAAAATGAAAAAAAAAAAAAATGAATAATAAATTAAAAAAAAAAAAAAATATGAATAGAAGATTGGTTGAAAAATTAAAAGTAATAAATGCTTAAGATTTTCGTATATCTCATTCGTGTTGATTTATACATAACGAACGATTATGCGAACTCCGATGAATAGTGGATTTTCTCTTCTTGGAAGAAATAGAAAAAGAGAGAAAGAGAGAGAGAGAGAGAGAGAGAGAGAAGGCGTAGAGACTCATGGTAAAAGAAAAATATTTTCTTGTCGTTTTCTTCCGAGAAAAATATAACATTTTCTCGTTCCAGGTGGCAATAAAAAGGAATAATTTACCGTGGAATATACCATCGTACTATCTTTCTCTCTCTCTTTCTTTTCTGTATTGCACGAATGCAATACTTTTGCATCGGATAGAACAGAAAAGACAAAAAAAAAAAAAAAAGAAACAGATGGAATGAAATAAAAGATCAAAGAAAGGTAGAAAGAGAGAAAGAGAAGAGAAAAAAAGAAGACATTTTCTGTCAATCGTATTTATTAAATTCTCAGTTGAGAAATCACCGTTCGTATTTTTTTTCTCTCTCTCTCATTCACGAAAGAATGGAAAAGAAGGAATTATTTTCTACTCTCCAATAAATCCATCCCATCACTTGAAAACCGACGAACTTTCTGAATTTTCACGATGATTTTGCACTGTTCCTGGGCGTAAATTTAAATCAATTCAACGAATCATTCCAGAATCGATGAAAAATTAATATCACGATACATTTATTCGTGTACGAGATTATTTCCATTCGAATAAGATATAAATATATATATAGATATATATAGATTCATCACGGTTTTTAAATTTACCGAGAAACAAAATTTTTAATTGAATTCGAGCTATTAGTTATGGGTCATGAAGTAATAATAACTGTGAATAACTTTTCAATATTTCGAATAATATTCCATCAGAGCTTATTAAATATTTAATATATTATTTTATCTTATTATCTTTTTCCTCATAATCATATATCACGAATACACGAGATATTTTTATAAACCATATCAACTTATAATTTTGTAATGAATTATTTTCAGTTTTCTTTTTTATTATAATTCAAGTTTTTCATAATTTAACGATGAATATAACAAATAAACACAGGAATATTCAAACAAAGAGCTTATTGTTAGATAAAAATTATCTTTTTCATTTAACATTAAATCTACTCATATGATCCTTTTGTTATTATTTTAAATTTTCAATGAATATTATTTTATATTTTAATTTTTAAATCAATAAATACAAATTAATCTGCATTATCAACATTAACGTGTGTTATTATTTTATAAAATTGATGTTATACAAAACAATTCAATCTCAACCGTGATAAAACGATATTGTCAAAAAATTTACTTATATATATATATATATATATACTTGTAATTTTGTAATGAATTATTCTCGGTTTTTTTTTTTTATTATAATTCAAGTTTTCATAATTTAATGATGAATATAACAAATAAATACAGGAATATTCAAACAAAGAGCTTATTGTTAGATAAAAATTATCTTTTTCATTTAAATGAAACATTAAATCTACTCATATGATCCTTTTGTTATTATTTTAAATTTTCAATAAATATCATTTTATATTTTAATTTTTAAATCAATAAATACAAATTAATCTGCATTATCAACATTAACGTGTGTTATTATTTTATAAAATTGAAATAATAAAAAACATAATTCAATCTCAACCGTGATAAAACGATATTGTCAAATAGTTGTAGATAATAAATATAGAAAATAAATGAATAATTAAAGTAAAGATTGAAATGATTTCCATTAAAAAGGGAATTAACCATTTATATAAATCAATGTCGCCAATAGTAAGCCGTTATCCGATGTGGTATAGTCGACTAACGATTTCATACCAACGACTGAACAAATTACGTTCATATTCGCGAATGGTGGGTAGAAAAATTGATCGCAACCAAATTACCATACCATTTCTCGGCTCATGTAAGCTTTATATTACATAAAGGGACGTTAAAACTTACCGCAAACTTTGCACGCGATCTCTCTTCAATTCTTCACACTTTCACGAACGTAAACGTTCCTTTACTTTCTTTCTCTCTCGTTTTTTTTTTTTTATGATCGAAACGATTATTTTAACGTTATACCGGGTGAAAGGTGTTTTCAAATATTCTACTTGAATAAACTCGATTGCTATTGACGATACAATAAAATGTGTCGGATAAGAAAATTTACATTGTATCCGTGACAACCATAATCCAAAGTAGTTTCCTTTTATTTTTATTTCTTTTATTTTTTTTATTTTTATTTCTAACATAAGACTTGTTGCAAATATTTTTCCATGTAAATTCATTCGTACAAGCTTATCGTTTAATAGTATACGAACTTTTATATGCGTCAGGGTTGTATCAGAATTTTTTCTTTTTTTTTTATATACAAGGAATTCATGTGAGTTTTTAGTAACCAAAAGATTTATTCTTTATTTTGTTTACAACGGTATGATATCATATCATATCATATCATATATAATTTTATTTTTTACGTAACTTTTAATAAAACGTTCGAATAGTTTCACCCGTTATAATGATCCTTACAACTTAGGTGTCATAAATTAACGGAGGTAAGAGATTTCGATCTCTCCTGGACGGTAAATTTAAAACGTCACGTAACTTTAAATACGTAACGAGAATGGTGATTCGCGAAATCGTGTATGTCAACTTTCTTATCAACGTTGACTCGTAATTGGGAATAAAATAAAATGTTTCAAAAAAAAAAAAAATATTGAAAAGAAATAGGAAGCATTTTTTTTATCATTTTAACTTTTTCGAGAGAAGGATAAAGTATAAAAGTACTACGTTCGTTGCTTTATGAATTAAAGGCTCGAAAATGTGAAAAGGGAAGGAAAGAAAAAAAAAACACACAGAAAGTTTAGGGTGATCATACCGCTAGGGCGAACGCAAATGTTAGCACAACTTATAGGACTTAAAAGTACGATCCGAAGGAGCGAATGACGAGCTACTTTACTGAAAGGTTCCTTCGTTTAACAAATCCCACAGCTTTCTAAAAGTTACGGATTAAGGGAAAAATTTACGATGAAAATATACGATAGATGACTGTAACAAAATTCAACGTAAAACTTCTTTTTTCTGTTTCTTTTTCCTATTAAAAATTTTTATTTTTGTTATGTTGTTGTTTTCTTTCTTCTTCAATTTTTCCTGATTCGTTAAATAATCAAACGAAAATAAAAAAGGAAAAAAAAAATATAACGAAAAATAAAGGCAAAGTAACTTGCAAAAAAATTCTTATTTCCGATAACGTCAAAACTAACACACACACACACACACACACATACACACAAATGTATGTATATATTTTATCTATACGCAGTTAGATTGTGGTTTTCATTAAAATACTACTACAAAGATGGAAATTCTTTTTTTTAACTTTTTAATAAACGAAATAGAAAATAATGTTTGTTTCGGTGATAGGAAAAGATTGAAAGAAAAAGTTAGCAAAAGAAATAAAAAATAGAATATAAATTAAATAAATGAATAAATGAATAAATAAATAAATAAATAGGAATGAATGGATAATAGGTCTCACCGAGTATATCGACGCAACCCAACTCGGATTTCATTGGGCTAGTGTTGATCTGGCACATGTAACAGTCCCTGTCTGACTCCTTTAGTTGACGAATGTGCAAACGCCACGTGCCGTTGACGACTTCCTCCGTAGCTTGGCTACTTCCTGTCACACCGAAGGCGCCGGACGTAGCACCGGACCCAGAATTACTGCCGGTCTCGTGAGATATCGAAATACGTGCATTGTGCGTCACAGTTCTCGTGTGTACCGTCAAAACCGTCTGGTCCGAAGCTCGTAACCATGCAACCTGTGTACAGAAAAACAAAAAATTAGAAAAAGAATAATACAACACGTTCAATCAAAATTTTTAATATCAATTGAAGTAACAAATTATTTTAATATTTTCCATCTTTAAATTGTTTGAGAAAAATGTGTACGATTTTTAACGATGATGTAAAATGTATGAATTCAATGGTGGTAACAATTTATTATTATTATTATTATTATTATTGTTATATTTGTTAAATGATATAAATTAAAATATATCATGTGTAAAAATGTTCAGCCAATTACCTGATATTTTCGTGAGAATATACAGGATGAATCAAAAGTTGGTTGAATAGTATACAATCGGATAAGATTTATATTCGATTTGAATTTTAATTTTACGACGTTCTTCTTTTTGTGTATTTTATTTTTAAGGGAGGATCGAATTTTCATTATTTTTATATTATTGTATAAAATATAAGATTATAATCAATGTATTAATAATTTGTTAATAAATTTTATAATATATATATTAGGGGTACCGAAAAGTGATCAAAATTTCTTTGATGAGTACACACATATTTAATTTGTATCAATGAAAAATCGAAGGACTTTAAAAATTGAATTGAACAATTTTTTTTTTTTACGTAAAGCAAAAAGTGTTAGAAAATGATAAACAAAATTTTTTCTTGAAATAAATAAATGTTCTTCGGCAGCGAAGAAAAATTTGGATTACTTTTCGGTCCCCATTAATATATATCAAATGTTATGGTGTATAAAGTATAATCTCAAGAGATAAATCTTATTATTTACTTTGTGCAACTATTTTTGGCACACTCTGTATATTTCGAAATAGCTTCCATTTCGTTATACGCGTAATTTATTTTCTTCCCGTTTTCGTACATAGGTAGTGACGTTACGTGGTATACCGTGCTCGTCGAAATGTCCTCTTTACCACGTAGAATGCATTGCATTTCATGAATTCCTCTTTCTCTCTTTCTCTCTATCCTGTTTCCTTTTCATATACACACATATACATACATATATATATATATATATGAAAAGTACACACGTGCTTTGCCTTTTGGACTATGGTGCGTGTTGCATAGCGCGTTGCGGTAAATAGTAAACTACACTGTGTGAATTTATGTATGTGTGTATGAGTGCGTATGTGTGCCAGGTATTATATTATATTACAATGAGAAATTTTAAGCGACGGTATTATGTTCGTACGACACATTGTACAGTAGGTACGTTGTGTAATGTTACCGTGCGTACAAGATCCGTGGGTTAACCGTAAGTGGCTAATGCGAACCTAGATGCAATGTATTTAGATTCAAAAGGATGAAAATAATAATGAGTTAAAAAAGAGGGCTAACTTTTCAACGTGTTATAATATAGTATAATATACTTTTTGTTTTGATGTACTTTTCTCTCTATATTTTGTTTCTTTTTGAAGGGGAGTTTATTTTAGAAAAATTTCGACAAAAAAAAAAATTAATAAATAAAAGAACCTATCATAATTTTTACTATCAAAATTGTATCATGACATTTTGAAAAATTGTTCACCGATATCAACGATACGAGATGAGAGTGAGAGAGAGAGAGAGAGAAAGAGAGAGAGAGAAATTTATTTCAAATGATTGTTTTGATAATAGATTGAAAATAAATTGAATTTCTATTTTTCAGTGTTTAAAGTAAAGAAAAATCGTGACGAATATTTCGAATCGAACAGTCATTTCTAACACGGGGTTCAGTGGGAAGGGAGGTATACATTTATCTTTACATATATATATATATTTTTTCTTCATTTCTTTTTTTATCGTAAAAATATTATCGAGAAAGAATTTTTGATCAGTATAAATAACATGGTAGCTTGTAATTGTTAACCTACTTTTTTTTCGATGTATTACTTTTCGTGCATACCACCCACCCAACCCCCTCTTGGAAACGTGCTCAACTCTAGCTCGAAGGTTGGGTTGGGGGTTGTGAAGGTTTCCTTTTTAATCGTACGTACATGTTGAGTTCATGTAAAATGCGGTCAGCAAACTTTTGTATGAATCTTTCGAAAAACTGACAGACAACCCACCAGGCATAGCTTTTACGAACCTCACGGCAGTCTCTTAATTAACGTTTTATCGTTACTTTTCGCGATTGCCAGCAAAAGAGGATAGGAGGTAAAGAAGAAGATGAAGGTAGAAGGGTGAGAAGGAAAGGGTGGGAGAGTTGGAAAGGAAAACGAGGGTATCCCATTTATTTTAGCTAACGTAAAAGTTTCCCCCAGACAGAGTTATACATCCGTGACAGTAATAATCTGCCAAACTCGATTTTCGTAGGACAGTTTGCGTTTTGTCTGGATAACCCTTTTCTCCCTTTCTTTCTCTCCCTTTCTTTAATTCTGTTCGTTCAAATATCTACGGATACAGATTTTCGTAGGAATAAATAAAAAAAAAAAAAAAAGAAAAAAAAAAGAAAATGTTAATTTAAATTTATATAAAAATTATCAAATGAAATTATATCGAGTATGAGAGTTGAAACATTGATTTAATTATTAAGCTAAATTTAACACTGATAATTGCGAGCGAGATATATTATTCATAGGAATTTATATGAATTTCGTTAAAATGATATTTTAATTAGAAAAAATAATATATATATATATATATATATATGCATATTGTTTGATAATATATTATAGAAATATATTTATTTGATCGTAGGAAATTGTGTTATTATTATTAAATAAAAATTAGATTATTAATTTTTTTTTCTTTTACATTAAATGTAAAGTATTTTTTTTTTTTTTAATCAAGGATGATCATTTGTTATAAATATGATTAATAAATCAAATCGAATTATTTTTAATCTACGATATATAAAATATATAATATTTATAATATAATTTAAATATAAAATATATATTATAAATATAATATATATATATATAATATTTTATTAAAAAATTATTTTTTTTATAAAATTTATAATATTAATTTTATTAAAATTTATAAATTATATATATAATATTATATTATATATAAAATCGTATAATATATAAAAATGTTTATTGTATATTTTAATATATAATATATATATATATAAAAGAAAAATATTAATCTTCTTAGAAAAAATAAAAAGCTTCATTTTTCAATTGATGATATATATGTATATATATATATATGAGTAAAAGAACATATATGTTTGAAAGATCGATGTCGAATTCTCCTCGTAGCTTTTCCTACGAGTGTACGAAGCTCGCACGGATCTACTAACGTGATATTAAACTTGATAATAACATTTTCTCTACCACAATAGCGTACTTCTATTATTATATCGTTATGTATCGTAACGGAGCACGACATTACGAGATAATAGCGTACAGGTAATAAGCAAATTGTGTAATATGAAAAAGCCATATCAAATTATCCTCCGATACAATGTTATAGAAACGTATCATCATTTTTATTTCTTCTTATTTCAAATGATTTCAAATGTAAACTTTACGAATCGATGCTTTGCAAATTTTCCTTTAATTTTCATAAACTTCTATAGATATAACGTTTGATTACTATTACTCTCTCTCTCTCTCTCTCTCTCTCTCTCTTTCTCTTTCTATTTTTATATATAGTATGTGTAACTACAAAATCAAGATAAATTTTCTCGTCTTTGATGCTTTTACGTTTAAATCCAAATGAACGATTTCATTTGGAAAATACACAGAAAATTTGGAACGTAAATTTAACAGGATGCACGTACCTATATATTTTATTCTATGCACATATTTTTGATCCTTCAAATTGAATATTATAATGATTAAAAATAAATGTAAATTAAAAATTCACTCGAGTAAGTTTCTCTCAATATTATTTCATATATATATGAAATAATATTATATTAGTTAATAATATTATATAATTATTATTAAATATTATTATATAATTATATATAATTATATATAATTATTATAAATTATTATAAAATAATAATAATTATATATTNTTATATATTATAAAATTTATATTACTATATTTATATTTAAAAATAATTCAAAAAATATATTCATAAATATATAATTATTATTAAATATTATTATATAATTATATATAATTATATATAATTATTATAAATTATTATAAAATAATAATAATTATATATTAGTTATTATAATATATTAGTGTTTTTAATCGTTTCTATTTGCGTATAAATAAAATGTTGTAATAATAATACTACAACAACACCCGGTAGTTATTTGTTCTTATCTTTTTTCTATACTTTGAAAACTCAATGTTCTATTAGTCGCATTTTATTATTGGATTTAATCTTCGGATCAAATTTCAATGTAATATTTTAATTACTCGTCTCTCACAAGGAATTCTTATATATTACCTATTTAAAATATGTTATTTTATCTTCTTTCATTTTTAAACAGGTCAATATATTTATTTAATGGTTTATATCATAAATTAATAGATTTCACATTTAAATAATTACATATATTAACGTAATACACATAGTTAAAATATTTTAATATCATATAAATATTCAAACGATCGTATTATACGTATGTTTATTTCATAGATAAAATTTAACATGCATGCACGTACACACATACATTCCTGGAATATTAACATTTCATTTTCCCTCCTCTCATCTCTGATGAGATCACTTAGAAAACTAACTCTTCAACATACTTTAATAAGACAAATTTGTATCGATCGATAAACGAGTACTTACTAAAAATAAATAAAACTGTCAGACCTTTTTAGAAATATTTTCTTATTATTCGATAATTCCACGAAATAAATTATAAAATATTACCGAGTGCTTATCGATATATTTAAATAACGATACTGTATTAATTTTATCAAAATAAGTGCATATAACTACACTGTATGTTCTAATTAAATATATTATACCTATACATATCATAATTATCTCATTAATATAACAATATGTTTAATTTATATATAAATACGTGTAATATTTGAAATATTATTTTGAATTGTAAAATTAGACACGCTCCACATATATATATATATA